GTGTGTGTGTGTGTATATATGTACAGACATGTTTATATGTATGGAGCCAGTAACAAAAACAATTTCCCTCTGGGATTATTAAAGTGTTTCTGGTTCTGATTCTGAATAAACCAGAGTAGATCAAAAGTATAAAAATGACATTTATTAGGTCACAGGCAAAGTGTATCAGTAGACAAAAAGCTCTCTCTGGGTCTCAGTGGGCAAAGAGCCCTGAGATCTGGGTGATGGGCATTATCTCCTGGGCTCCATCCGCCTCCTCAAAGGAGGACTGGACACAACCAAGTCCTATTGGCCAGTTACCTCTGGGCAGGAACAGGCCAGGTCCTAATTCATGCAGATGACAGGAATGTGCTAACAAATGGTGTGTGTGTGTGTGTGTTTGTGTTGACCTAAAGATAGATATAATGCAACAGAGAGAGAAAAAGAGAGAAAAGAGAGTCTGTGGACACATCCAGAGACTTCAACACAAAAATATAGTTCTAAAAGGAATAAAAACAAAGAGTAATTTACATAGATCATGTGATAGCATACAATGCTGAAGTGAGTAATTTTAGCCAAATTCTAACAGCCTGTTTGGTGTTTTTGGGAGTGAGAACAAGCTCCATGAGAGCTGGTTTCTGTTCAGAGCCCCGTAAAGTAACTAGTCAGAGTGGAATGGGGTTAATTGAGTTTTTAATAGCGAAGTGGGGCTTCTCCATCCCTCCCCGTGTTGCCGTGGAGTCCCACAAACGATCAGGACCCCACAGTTAGCGCGTGTCGGTGCATTTTTGGGTTAAAGGTGAGGGAACCCGGGGCTGTGTTCTGCCTGCTGGCCAGGAGGGGGCGCCACCCACAGCCACATGCTCCTTAGTTGATTTGGTCAGTTCTAGGCTCTGATAACTCTGTAAATATATTTCAGAATAATCTTTGTTTGGTCAGTTCTAGGCTCTGATAACTCTGTAAATATATTTCAGAATAATCTCTGTTTGATGTCTTTTCAACATAGAATCAATTAAAGCATCCTGTGGCATTCAGTGTGGGAAAAGATGTAAACACCACACATTAGGCTGGTCCCGATCCGATATTTGGATTTCTTTGGTCACTTTATATGGTTACTATGGTCCCTTCTAGAAATTTGAATGCATTTCTTAATATTCTCTTTGATGTCTTTTTGAACATGAACACAATTAAAGAATCCTGTGGCGTTCTTTGTGGGACAAATAAAGGTGTAAACACCACACATTGTCCCAATCCAATATTTGGATTTCTTTGGTCACTTTATATTGTTGCTATGATCCCTTCTAGAAACTTAAATGTAATTCTTAATAATCTGTTTGATTTTTTTTTAATATAAAGACAATTAAAGCGTCCGGTGGCGTTCTGTGTGGGACAAATAAAGACGTTAACACCTCACATTAGGTTTTCCCGATCCGATATCAGGAGAAAATGCAGATCCAGACTCCAGATCCAGTTTATTTTTAAAGTCTGATCCCACACTAGCATTAGCATTAGCATCTGCTAACCCACAAGTCTGTGTCCTAACCATTAAGTTGTTATCAGAGTAAATCCCTGTTCAACATGAGTCTGACAACTAAGTAAGTAGATAAATAACTTTAAACTTTAACACATGCTCTGATAGGCCGGGATCGGGACCTTTTGTGGGGAAAAATGGAGGAGACATCTTGATGTTTATTGTTTATTGTTTATTTATTTGGATCCCCATTAGCTGTCAGTAATTTGATCCTGGGGTCCTTTTAAAACTATATACATACACAAAACATATCAAATGATAACATCATAAGAACAATTATACATTTCAAATTATTTCACCTTACATTATAATCTGTTACCCAAATATTCATGAATTAAGGCTTTCAACAAAATATTTTTTTAGAAGTGTTTTAAATGCACTTCTAAAGAAATATTTTGGCTGTTTGAGATCATATTCTGATGCCTTTTCTCCCCCCTCTGACCCCCCCAGGAGCGCCCCCGCCTCCCCCAACCACTCGGGCGTGCTCTCGGCCCACTCCAGCGGGATCCAGACCCCGGACAGTCTGTCCAGGGAAGGCTCCCCGGTGCCCCTGGAGCTGGAGGCCTCCGCCCCCCCCCCCCCCCCACGGTCCAGCCCAAGCTGGCCGTCATCCAGGAAGCGCGCTTTGCACAAAACACACCAGGTAGGAGCAGCTGCAGGGAGGGGTAACTGAGTTTCCACAGGTTAGTGTTTTTGGTTTCAAACTGACCTGTTACTGATGTTATCGTGTATCGATTTTGGCGTGTTGTGATTAGCTGTTAGCCGCGGCTAGCAATTCAAGGCTAACGTCACGTTAATGATCATAAACAATGTAAATAAAAAAATCGGAGAGAAGGGGCGTGGGGGGGATAGTATCGATACTTTTGATAATGAGTACCGGGTACAACATTTTAGTATCTATACTTTTTGGAGTATTGATACTTTTGACAACCCTTATTGTGGGATCCAAATTTTCTGGTTAACCTTCTTTCGTTCTTGCATTTCGAAATAACGAACAGGAGATGTGTTTTAACGCGCTTTAACGGCTTGTTTGCGTTGATAACCCTAGCTGGAGGAGGCTCTCTCTGTGGGGGGGTTCTGGGGGATCTGGGGTGGGGTGACCCCCCTCTGAAAAGACCATTTACTAATAAAC